ATAGGATTTATATTCTTATCCAAGCGAACCCTACTTGTGTTGTATATATATATATATATATACCCTTGCAAACACCTAATTTTGGCCTCTTGTCCCGAAAGAAAGTGCGATGATTTTATAAAAGTTCGTTCTTCATGCTAGATCAAAGTTGAAGTGTTTATGGACTATGAAAAGAATTATAAAGTAATTTAAAACCCATATTTGAGACCAATTTATCTTATAGCGTTTTCCGATTAAAGTTAGGCCTAAACCATGTTCATACATGTTTAACTTGATTAATAACGGACCAAAATGCGTCAAATGCAATGATTGGATCCAATGGAACCTACATTGTTGAAAAACCGATCCAAACAGAGGAAACAAACATCAAAATCTCGTGCAAGGCCTATACAGATGGATAACCCTTTCAAAGAGCTTACCAACGGTATATTATAAGCTCAATTCTGAGCTACAACGAAGAAGTTATATCAAAACACTAAACCGGGCCTTAAAATCGACACCCTTGCACTCCAACGGCCATAAATTTTGATCCATAACATATTTTAACCTAATTCTAAAGCATTGGAAAGTAGACATTTGGATATTTCCAATGATATCTCACACGCCTTAATCCGACTCCGCAATCAAAAGTTATGGAAGTTTTAAAAACACGTTTTTGTATAAGGCGAACTGCAAACCAATGTAACTCAATTAGTTGCGCGCGCCTGGCGCGCTTGACTCATTGAGATTTGCGTGGCACCTAGCGCGACTCAAGAAGTTGCGCGTGCCACCTGACGGCGTGGCTCTAAAACCCTTATCCTAGATTCCTACGCCTATAAATAGGGGTCTAGGTTCAGCATTACGAGGACAGAAAAATCAGAATACTAAACCCTAAATTTTGAAAACCCTAATCTCTCTCAAACCTTCTTACTATCATACTACTTTTCCCTCTTTCTTCCCAACTACTCTTCAACCCTAATCCATCCATTGAAGCTCTTGAAGGTACGAAGAAGAAAGGAAGTCCATAAACACATTAAACGGAGATTTAACATAAAAGAAGAACGGTTAGTTTCCTAAGCACTTATATAAATCACTTTTCCTTTATTGTTTAAATAACTTTAATTGATTAATTAGTGTTTTTTGGTCACTTTAAACAAACTTCTAATTAATTAATTCACATAGTACTCTTTCGTTAATCAAGACTAGAATTTGAATAATTAATTGTTGTTTTATCACTTAAGACAAGGCGAATATTGTTTATTTATTGTTCTTTCACGAATATTGATTAAATAAGAATAACGACTTTTGCAATATAATTCCTACATGATTAATGCGTGTAAATAAAATCAACTAGGTATCGCATTGCATATATTGTTTGGTGATGAAATTGTGAAAAAGGAAGATCTAGTAGAGGTCGTACTAGGGGTAGGATAGCGATTCCCCCCTAAAGGGAACGCTATTTTAGTACCCTCACTCCTGAACTCATTTTGGTTTATGTAGACCAATTTGGGCATGGGTAAACTTACGATTCGTGATAATTATCCCATAAACTCCACATGAGAGAAAGGCATCACTACAAGAAATAAGCTATTTTGCGACAGCCAAAATTTGTCGCAAAAATAGTAAAAACCGTCACAAAAAATAGTTGCGACAGTCAACTGTCGTAAACCGTTTGTCACAATCACAGTTGTCGAAAAATTTTGTTTCTGCGACAGTTTGACTATCGTAAACCTTTTTTACGACGGTTTTACTAATTTCAGCGACAATTTTATTTTTTTGTCGTAATAATTAATCTTCGACAGCTAAAAACCGTCGCAAACTACGACAGCCATGAAAACTGTCGCAAACACCAACTTTAGCGACAGCTAAAAGCCGTCGCAAAAAATAAAAAAAAACGTAACCCCTCAACCCAGCCACATCCCTCCTTTAACCCTCACCCACAATAGCTCAGCCGCATAACCCGTAACCACGACCAACCTCCACCACAAACCACCTAGCGCCACCACACACTTTCCACCGCCACCCAAAACCACCAAATTAAGCCCAGAAAACTCATAAACCCACAAACAACCCTAGATCTGAAATTAAACCAAAAAAAATCTAAAATCCAACAATTCCCACTTACACTAACCACCGACAACCCCCTAACCTTGCACCCAAAAAAAATAAACCTTAAGATCTAAAAATTAAACCCCAACAAACAAAAAATCAAAGAAAAAACCCAACATAATAACCAAAGATAAATGAAAATATAAAACAAATACATAAAAATAACAAACATCAAACAAGAAATACAAATATACATCAAATAATAAAAAAAACCAAGAATAATAAAACAAACAAGTTAATGAAATAACAGAAGTTATCAAAAACGGTACAAAATTCAAACAAAAATACCACAAAAAATCAAACGAAAATAAATGACAAAAATAACAAGATCTAACAAATTTAATAAAAATCAAATGAAGATGAACGAAAATAATTAACATACCTTCGAAACTTTCCTCTTCTTTGGGTTTTAAGGGTCAAATTCGAGCATAAAAACTTCAGATCTGTAATTTTTATGGTCCAATTTGGCTAAAAAAACCTCACCATCACGATATTAAACTTTAAAAATATGAATTTGACTAAATAAACCCCTCAACATTAAGTAGAAAGAAGGAGGAGTACGAGAAAGAAAAAAGTGGAGGATGAGAAATAGAGAGGAGAAAGGAAAAGAGAGGAAAAAAAAGAGGAGGAAGAAAAAGAGAGGAAAAAGAAGAGGAGGAGAGGGGAGATGATATGAGAAAGTGAGAAGAGAAAAGAAATGAAAGAGGAGAGAGAAACTGATAGGGAGAGGAGTAACGAATTGGCGGACAATACATTACTAGGGTTTGGTGTGGTATTGTGGGGTATTTATATCCCGCATGTTTTTGAAACCGTCGTAATCTGCGACAGTTTAAAGCTGTCGCAAATATTAAAAAAATTTACAATTATTTTTAATGTCTATTACGACAGTTTATTGGCCAAAAACCGTCGTAAATCAGCAACAGACTAGAAAACTGTCGTAATATTGCGACAAAAACAAAAACCATCGTAAAATTTAAAAATTACGACAGTTTTGCTGGCTGTCGTAGAAAAATTGTCGCTATTTGCCCGGATTCTAGTAGTGCATGAACAAGGTTTATGAGTTTTCCTAAAACTCATTGGCGACTCCCTACTTGTTTCTTATAAAAAAGCGTGATGACAAGATCAATTCTAATTCAAGGTCCCCCAAACAGTCAGGAATTCAAATCCTAATACACCCTAACAAGTGTAAAGTCCTAGGCTTCTAAATGGCCAATGGGCATCTAAGGAGAATATCCCCTACGATGGGAACACCATCCTTACAACCCCGGCCCATCATATGGAATAGAAAAATAGACTGATTAATTATTTCCCCAATTCTCTCTCATTCTCTTTGTTTCACAACAAATTGTAATTTGTTGATTTTTTTTTTATTAAGCATATGTTTTTGGGCCAATTAACTACTTTGCCAATCAATGAAGTTATTTTTTTTTATTGAATGTGATTATGCCAAATTACTAAGTATAATTTCATCCAGATTTTTTTTTATTTTACTTGTGGAAACTTTATTTGCTTAATTCATAATTTCAGTCATCTCCAAACATAAGTCAGAATTTGAAATTTCAAAATTGAAATTCTGATGTCCCAAAAACTAATACATGGAATTTAATATCAAGATTTCATTGAAATTCAATTCCACCATTTGAAATGAATATCATGTTTTAAAACGCAACCTTATGAGAACCAAACAACTTAATACCATTTTTTAGGAATTGCATGAAGGAAAATAAATTCCCATGAAATACAAATTACCAAATTCCTATGTTAACCAAATGAGCCCTTAATAGATAGATAGATAGATAGATAGCTTAAGTCATGAGCTATCTAGCAAATTAAATAAATTTGATCAATTTATTTAATTTCATTAAAAAAAATATTTTTTAAATCGTTTTTTTATATCTTTGAAATTATATTAAATTTTTGTAAAACACTGTAGGACCTAAACTAGTATTAGATTACAGAAATCTCGTTAATTCATCATACTTAAAAGAAGCCAAATAGCATACTCAAGTTGATTAATATCTTTTATACAGAGTATACACTTGGATACACATAGAGGTAGGTGCACCAAAGATAGGGTTTTTTTTTTTTTTAATATATTTTTTTATTTTATAATTTTGAAATGAGTAAAAATGTTAAGTAGGTAGAAATTACCTTGAATGTACATCGCATATGGGTATAATAAATTATTTTTACAAGTTAACAAGTACTCTCTACGAAATAATAATACTCCCTCCATGTTTTAATAAGAGTTACAATTTGACCAGCATAAATTTGTAGGCAATTTTATTGATTTAAATAAAATGAAAGGTACGTGTGTTAGTTGGAGTATTAAAAATTGATAAAGAACTATAGTGGAGTTAATAATTTACTAAAAAGTAATGAATGTGAAAGAAAAGAAATAATTAAAAAAAAACTTGCTAACAAACGTTCCCGGGGCGTTAGATAAGCATTGAAAATATTTCGTAAAAGTGGTATTAATTTAGGAATGTATGTTAAAACCACGCGTCGATCGATATAATTAATGTTCATTTTAATCTAATTTTTCTAGTTTTACCTATTTTTTCAATGCCATGGGGCGTACATTAGCTTTTACCAAAAAAAAAAAAAAATAGTTGTAAGTTTGGGTGAAAACCATACAAGGAGAAAGATGTAATACTTCGTTTTAAAATGTAGCTTTCTCTTTTTAAAACGCGAATAAAGTACATAAAAATAAACCAACAAGAGTTGGCTCAAGTGGAATGAAATACATAAAAATAAACCAATGAGAGCTGACTCAAGTGGTAAGCAATTTGATGTCGCTTCAGAGAGGTCTCGGATTCGAACCTTACCGTATGAAGAAATTATTGTTGGGAGACTCATCCATCATAAGTCAAGTCAAGTGTGCTACTTGAGTCAGATCGGTTGAGCCTTGCTTGCTAATTCATTTTGACCATAACTAATTCGGCATGCAAGTAGATTATTTACTTTAGTATTGTAGTACTATTGGAGATGAAAAAAAAAAAAAAAAAAATGAAAAACGACGGACGGTGTTGATAAGGCATATCTGGAGCAAAAGGGGAGCATCTGAGTCGTCTCCTACATCCTAATTTCTCCAGCGTCCGATCTTCTCTTTCAACTACTCTCTCTCTTCATCGCCTTCAACGCCGATCCATCTTACGCTTCTCCTTTATTTACGCCACTTCTCCAATTCATCGGTAAGTTCCTTCCTTCCTTCCTCCCTTTTTATTCTTATCTCTTATTCTTCTTCTTTAATTCTTTTCCCTCACTCTTTCTCTCTCCTCTTTCTCTCTCATCATCATCATCTCTCTTTCGCGCTTCTATTCATGGCGGTCTATTTCAATTTCGATTTTAGATTGACGTTTGGATTTTTAGGGTTTAATATTTCAAATTTATATGGCGGATGCACCGACAAGTCCAGGCGGTGGAAGCCATGAAAGCGGTGACCAAAGCCCACGTTCCAATGTTCGTGAGCAGGACAGGTATCTTCCTATTGCTAATATAAGTCGGATTATGAAGAGGGCTTTGCCAGCTAATGGTAAAATTGCTAAAGATGCTAAAGAGACTGTTCAGGAATGTGTTTCTGAGTTCATCAGCTTCATTACTAGCGAGTATGTTTGTCAATTTTGATTTTGTGTTTAGATTTCGTTTCGAGATTATTGGGTTTGTGTTGTTTGACTTGTTGGTGTAATTTTATATTTTTGTGATCGATTGTTTAGGGCTAGTGATAAGTGTCAAAGGGAAAAGAGAAAGACCATTAATGGGGATGATTTGCTTTGGGCTATGGCAACTCTAGGGTTTGAAGAATATATTGATCCACTTAAGGTCTACTTGACTCGTTACCGAGAGGTATAACTATTGTAATTATTCATTGGAAGAGGTGGCTTTTATATGAAATTTACAATTTTGGATGATGGTTAACTAAGTGTTTGTTTGTGTTTCGTGGTTGCTTCATCTTTGGATTATTGCTATCTATTGCAGATGGAGGTGCGTATCTCTGTGCTAATTTTGTTTACAATTGGCGGGTTTGTGATATGGTAATTAATTTTGCTTACTTTGAGTTTGGTGGTTGTGAATTTTGATAGGGCGATACAAAGGGGTCTGCTAAGGGTGGCGAAGCCTCGGGCAAAAGGGATGCAGTGGGAAATCAACAACCTCAGGTAGAGTTTACTCAAGTTCTATTATGTAATCATTTGGTGTAGTTTGATATCTCGTGAGCTAACGGGTTTGCTGCTGTGATTTCTGTTTTGAAATTTGGCAGCTTGCTCATCAGGGTTCTTTTAATCAAGCCATGAACTATGGAAACTCGCAGGTAATTTGCATTTTCATATATAGGCGCTGTAGGATGTGGTCATGCTCGTCTTCTGTGTTTTGAATGTATATTTTATTTGAAAACTTTCACAACAATAATGTCAACTATCAGGACTAAACAAAACTAGAGGGTATCTTCCCAAGATGCACCTTTGTTGCAGGGAACCTGTTAAACTAGTTAGTTTATCTTTGTTAGTTTTCTTCTTTCCCTGTCCTTTGATCCCCCTTCTTTCCCATCCTTAATTGATGCAATCTCTTGCCAAACTCTTTCGTAACTCCCACCCCTTCTCAGGTAACAATCATTCCCTCTCTTGTTCAACCCAAGCCAATAATTACTTCCTCTCCTGACTAAATCAATTTATTTATTTATTTATTTATTTTTTTTTTTGTAAAAAAAAAAGTGCACCGAGTGTTGAGGCGGCACTAAGTGAATGGGATACCTAAATTGGAGGTGCAGAACTATATTTTTTATTCCATAATTTGCTGATATCTATTTTCTTGATACACTTACGGTTTGGTGAAGGTAGCAAACCCATTTTAAGATTTGAGATCCCATTTACAGTTAGCCTCCTAATGACTTCTTTCTCAATATAAAAAATTGCAAAATTGAATTGGAGTAATGGTGTATGGTTGTTTTATTATTCCTTACTCAAACTACCATTCTATTATTTTAATAGAAAAAATTATAGAATCCATTGTTCTAGGTACTCTAGTGTAGTCTCCCATGCTGCCTAATCGGTGATAATTGTATATCTATGCAAAACAAGTGGGACCCGTAAGATTAATAACCAAAGTATCTGACACTCTTACCACCAACCAAAACCTTCAAAATCCAAAATCATTATAATGAATGTTAATTCAACTAAGAGTGAGAATAAGAGCAAGAGAAGGTGAGTACATCATAGCAATAAAAATGTAGGAGTTTGAGGGATGAGATGTATGAAGAAAATTACAAGTTCAATGGAGGAATAGAGGATGAAAAAAAAGGGGAAATCGTTGGCTAGAGTTTTTAACAGAGGTGGAAGGGACATTTTAATATCAGACGGCAGCAGAGGGAGAAAAGTAAGCTCCCAGGTGGGTGGTGGTGGACCTTTGGTGGGAGGAGTTTTTGGTGTATGTTGGGGATGGAGTCCAATGGGAAGAGATGAGTTAGGGGCTGATCTTTGTTTTGTTTTGGTTGGTTTGTTTGCTTAATTTATTTATTTATAGATGAGAATTACATAATATTACGTTGTCAATTGATCTGCAAGATCGGTTGATGTACGTAATTGCTTTATTTTGGGAGGAACCTCCCATAGTTGGAATTATACTTAATACATCATGGTTGGAAGCTTCGCACAGATATGGGAAAGAATAGTCATAGCTGGAAATTATTCATTCTAGAAGTCAAATTTGCATATGTTTCTTTGTCTCTTCCTTTGTGTGTCAGATATTTTAAAATGCAGTGTAGTGAAAGTTTAGTTTAGGCTTTTGTCTTTGCATTATTCTTGAATAACCAATGGGGTAATGTCAAAGGTTAGGATGATTTTTCATCTCTTTGTCGTGTTGGAAAGTTTAAACTTAAGTATAGTGAAAGTTCCATTTGAGCATTTGTCTTTGGGTGTAAGTGAGATTATCATAATGAATTGGGGTTTGCAAAATTTTTCTCTTACATCATACTTTGTGAAAAGTTGAGTAAATCAAGCAAGATTGGAACATTATAACCATTCTGTAAAATTAGTGAATCTATTCACACCTTTGTTTTATTTTTCATACCATTATTGTGACAGTCATGTTAAAAGATGTTCATATTGGAGTGGTTATGTGTAATAATCTTTTAGGTATGAGATTTACTTAATTTTTTTTCTGGTTGAAATGATTTGTCTTTGGCTATGTTCTCTTCATCTCATTTATGTTTACTTACTCTTGTTTAGACCTCCTTGACCAAACTAAAAACTTAAAAGAAAGGGCCCAGAGTGCCCAGAGTTAAACTACCTCTTTTCTATATCATCGAGTAGATTAGGTCAAAAATACTGGCCAAACCAGACCCCTATAGAGGTTTTTATCTTATTTTATTTTTGTGAAAGCCCAAAAGATAAAGTAATCAGACTTGTTTAATTTGTATCTATTTATTTTTCACTAGATGCGGTTGCGGCAGATTGGTTCATGTGTGTTTTGAGAAAGGGGAGGGTAGGTGAGGGAGAGTTATCCAAAATTTTGCTTTTTAATTAACTGAATTTTACCATTAAATATTGTACTTTTAAAGTTTTCCTTGAATGTTAATATTTTTAATTGGCACATTGGCCCTAATGATAATAGGTGTAGTTGGTGTGGGCCACAATGGCCACTGATGATCACAAACATTACTGAGTGCACTCTGTACATAGAATATCGTCCAAGTAATCTCTAAGTAGGCTTTTCTTGATAAGGGATAAAAAAATAGACTCCGGGGGGAGTGTGAGATGAGGGTCTTCTTACTACTGTACAATCATAAGAGAATGTCAGGCCACCCTTATTACTGCTGTACAATCATCATAAATTGCAATTGGGCTTTCATTAGCCCTTGTTACTTATTAGAAAGCAACTGACTGGTCAACTACTTCATACAAAATATTATTTGAAACCTATAGTGAACAGTTTGTTTTCGATCATTGCAATTTTGAAAATTGCTCAGTTGAGACTTTCAACTTTGTTGTTGTTCATAAACAGGATCTCATGTCAAATGCCTCTTTTGGCTAAGAATAGTTGCTGTGCAATCATTAAGAGATGTGGGTCTTAATGCTGCTGTACAATCACTAAGAGACTGTTAGCCATGAGTCTAAATTAGACTTTCAATCACATCTTTTTTAGAAAGCAACTGACTGGTCAAATACTTTAAACAAAATAATTTTTAGAAAGTATAGTGAACAATTTGGTTTCAATCATTGCAATGTTGAAAATTGCTCATTAGAAACTTTTAACTTGGTTGCTCTTAGACAAGATCTCATGTCAAATGCTTCTTTTGTCTAAGAATAGTTGCTCTTGATGCGTGATGAAACGAGGACTGATTGTGAAACCTGGGCTTCTAATAATGTGTGCACCTAACTTGAATTATCTAGGAGACATTACCATTAATATGATGCTAAATCTTGGATTGGTTTCTGCTATGCAACTGTAATTTGCATAAATTCAATTGATGGGTTATATTGTAAGATTGTCATTGGGGACATGGTATCATGTCATTTATTGGGTGATTTCGTTGGAGAATTATGCCTTGCAGTTTTCTAAATGTATTGTCCGTTTGAATAATGTTTGGAATAAGGTGATTTTTCTTTCATCTTTGTGGTCTTTTGCTTCTGGTCGTTGTCATGATCTTTTTCCCCCAATCTTCTTGCCATCAATGTGCTTTGAGAGGACTGTCAACCCCTTTGTGCAACATTTAAATAATTTAACAATTGGTAGTTGCTTCTTATGGTGTTTCTAAATTTTCGCAAAAAGGTTCTGACACTACAGTAAATGGTGTAACTATCATGGTTTGGTTTTAAAATAAGCTATAATAGATTTTGAGGCTTGTTCTGTTTGCTTATAAATTAGCATAATGGTGAGTTATTTTGATGGGGGAGATTACCATAGCCTACTCTTAAGCTTTAATATGTCTTGAGTTTTTATTTTGGGTATGTACATCTGTAGGTCAAGATAATTTAATCTTTCTGAAAGTATGTGTAACTAGTTTTATCTGCTGATCTGCATTTCAACTTCATAATAGGTAAGATTTGCTCTGATTGATAAGGTTAAGAAATTGTTTGTGGTTGCAGGCCCAGCATCTAATGGTTCCTATGCAAGGCCCAGAGTAAGTATTACCTGCAATTCATTGATATTACATATAATTGACAATTTCAATGACGGGGAGTTTTATTACCTCCCCACTGAAGTCTGAAGTCGATTTCATCAGTGCTATAGGAAAAACTTATATCAAGGATACTTTTCTCATTCTCAGCAATTTAGGTTTTGTAGGCGCTGTTTGTTTCGTTTATCAGGTAAGTCTGATAGTTCTGTATATGAAATTGTGAGTGGTTTGTCGCTAAGACGTATAAGACATCCTACTTATATCGACCTTGAGTGATGCATAATTTATTATTATTATTATTATTATTATTATTATTATTAAATAACAAAAACCTACAAAGTCAAAAGATTTACAAGAAATTAGTGGGGAGCCGAGATACAATCTGGGCCCCCACCCCTCTTGCTATAGCGAACCCAATCCTGTTAAAGATGTGAGCAGCCGCACGAGCTCCAATATCCTGAGTCCTAGCGAACGCCTGAACCCGCTTCAGCAACGCAACGGCATCCTTCTCTAATTCCCCCAATGAAGAAAAGGAGAAAGGAAGAAAACCATAGCCAATAGCCCTGCAACGCGCCCCATACTTGTCTCGCTTCCGCTGAGCCGCAGCCGACATAACACGACCAGGAACGAAGTCAGACAACCCAGATTGAGTCAATGGAGAAGACCCCGTCAAGTCAACACATACATCTAGGCCTCTATCCCAGGAGTTAAGCAACACAACACATCTGCTGGCCGAAGAGCCCCGTCGTTCCCTCCAGTTAACCCAACGTTGACCTCCTTCCTTGTAGAAATCCCAGAGCGGAAACAAATATCAACAAGGGTATCACGAACAACGTTATGCCGATGTTTAATACCCACCATCCCAGCACTAGACACTGCATGATCCCCATAAATATCCCCATCAAAAACTCTTGAGCAAGCAGAACAAGGTGCCGATACGGAGAATAAGGGAACACCCAACCGGTAGCAAAGAGCACAACGGTAAGTCTTACCATTCATAGTCTGACCCAGGGACCGCTCGCAACCACTCGCAACCAGGCAGAAGAGTAATCCCCCTGCTGGGACTTCTATAAGGCAACCTGACGCGGAGACAAGGAGAAAGTGGATTCTGCAAATGCAGTGACCTTCGTGAAATATATATCTGCCAATTTCTTCATGAGTTTGGGGGCAGCGATCTCACCATGGTAACGCAAAAGGTCAGTCTCCACAGTCCTATTAAAAAGACTAAGAGCGTCATCGAAGGCTGGACCTGGACCAACAATACCAGAATTGCGAAGAAGCGAAGCCTGTAGACCAGAAGACTGCAAACGCGACGCAAGGAAAGCATAGTGTTGAACATCACCCGCTGAATAGACACCCAGTCCTCCATAAGAAAAAGGTAAGGTGGCAAGGTGCCATTGCCAATCACCAAAACCTGGCCCCGAAGCAGTTACAATGCGCTCCACAGAACCTCGAAGGGCCACATCAAAAGAAATCTGGGCCGCTTCAAAAAGACGAGGAGGACAAGTGTGATAGAAAAGTAGAGTTTTGAAACTCCAGTGCACGCACGAAGAAGTAATAACTCACATTGGGGATCCTCAAGCTTAGCAACAGCATCCATGAGCACAATGGTCCTCGACACCCTCTGCGAAACAAGCTCACCACAGAAAGAGGCATCTGCACTGACAGGACCCCCAAGCAACTTAACACCATGAGCAGGACGAGCAAGAGGAAAGACACCGGCCAGACGGCTACGAGGGTCCTCCGTGGGCAAGAAAACTTCCGTTTTCTGAACGTTAACATGGAGACCAAGACGAGGTCCCTCCACCAAAATCAACTCCATAACCTTCCCTACCACCAAGGTGTCACCAATAATAGTGCCATCATCCAAATACCAAGCCTGCAAACATAAGTCAAAAGAATCCCTAATTTGACAAACCAACGGATGGAGCACCAAAGCAAAAAGCAAAGGGCCAAGTGGATCACCCTGCTGCACACCCTGACATGACCTTAAGGTATGCTCCCCATAATAGAGCCTGGCTGGAGTAGAGTAACATAATTCAACCCAACGCGAAAGAGCTGGACAACGGAGACGAACCTCACGCAGTAAAGCCGTACGATCAACCAAATTAAAGGCATTCCGGAAATCCACCAGCAACATAGAGAGGCCAACATCACCACCTCGAGCCTCAACCAAACGATTAACAGCATGAAGAATAGCCTCGCCACCCGCC